GATTCTATTATTTCCATAATTAATCACAAAAACTTTAATGCTTTAAAACCGATGTTTTCTAGACGTCTACACTGTGTCACAACTAAATAGGTAGATGGTCAACTAAATAATAACTATAGCCACTACTCACTAGGTAATACCTATATTATTATTAACTATAACAAAATGATGCATGTGTGCCTGTATTATCTAGAGTCTAGACAGTTATCTAGACATTATCTAGACAGTCTAAATAAGTCCGATTTTGTATCAAAAACCTATATGATATATACAATATAATGTAATGAATAAATGAACAACATAAGCTGTAGGTACCTTTTTTATCTTAATGGTATCTTTAATAATATAAAATATTATCTTTATATGGTTAAATACTTGTGCATTTTATACACACTCATATAGGTACATACACACACCCCAACAATACTTTCCTAAAACATAGTAGTATAGTACCTATACAATTATGTACAGTTTATACTTATATTCTATTCTACTGACAAAATATTTATTTGTAATTTTCTGATTTATTAACTAACTCATTAATTTTTGTTCTTTATTATACAACAGACAGAATACCTAAAATATGATAGCAAAATATGAAATTTGGTTTTTATTTTCATGATTTTTTTTCTTTTGGTTTTTTTTTCCGTGGACTTTTTTTCATTTGGTTTTTTATGTTTTGGTTTTTATTTTTTGGTTTTTTTATATTTATTTTTTATTTTTTGGAAACAACCCAAATATTCTTAAAATAAAGGAAGAACTTCAGTTGATGGGTAGATTCAGTGTCTATTATGTAAAAAATGGCTTCATTGTATTTGTGCTGAGTTTGAAGAAAAAGATTAGAAAACTATGTTTATAAATGTGAATTTTGTTCCTAAAATTATTTTTATGTTTTATAACATATAAAAAGTTAAATTTATAATTTTATTTCTTTTAAGTTAAGCTATACACTTAAGTATATTAACGTTTTTTATAAATAATTTGTTGTGTTTATAAAATTAATTAAAATATATGGAATTTTTTCGTATGTCCCCACTTTGCCCCATGTTTCCCCATATAAACTAAAAATTGGGCTACTACGGAAGGCATTGTCACCAGTCACCACTAAACCTTAACCAAGGGTTTCGATGCGGAATATATGACAAAAAAAAATACATTTAATTTGTTCTACGGTTAAAGTATAATGATTATATGAAAATGACCTCTTTCCGTTCAGTGGATAAGTAAATGTTTTTTCCCCGAGTCAGGATAAGTAACTGTCAAAATCAGATTAATATTTACCGTGTATAAAATATGTATCGAAATACTTTATCATTTATGTCAAATACTAGATGTTGAGTTACTCCTGTGCTGTTCTATATGAAAGAGTTAGGCGAATCTATATAACGAGAACTAGAACGACTATAACAGTTCATTATGAATTAGTCTGAATTACCATAATATCGATAGAAGACTTTAGAAGGGGTAGTTGGTAGAGGCGTGACTTAAAATAGTATGACGTGTGCACATGGCTCGTGCGGGAAGGCAATTTCAAACTTCAGTCTTGGGTGAAATGAAGCCCTGTACTAACCTGACATATCTCACTTCCTGCCACGACATATCAAGGGGCCACACAACACTCTATTTTACGTGACAGGTAATATAATATTTCTGTATACATTTAAGATTCTTGGACTACCGAAATAATGTATTGGTTTTACAATGATGTGTGTTTATCTTTTCCTATCTGTCAGCAAAATTTTGGATAGTAAAAATGCTCTGATTTTCGAGATCAGAAATCAGAATCATTTCTAATATAAAAGTGAATCTAGTTGGTACTTTTAGGAGGTTAAAATTCAAAATTCCAAGTAGTATTAGAAAGCGTCAAGAAAAACAAAAAAAAGTGGTGTAAGTAATTTTTTGAAAAAATCGTTTTTATTTTTTTGAAATAACTCAAAAACTAATAACCACAGAGGCACAGAGAATTTTCTCCAAATATTTATGTTTTAATTTTCACGAATGGTAACCATTTTGAAATGTTTTGACTCTTTTTCAACTAGTTAGCCTTGAGACATTTTTGGAATTTTGTATTTTTTTTTTATAATATTCTCGATAAAAACTTTTTCACTTGGTAAAAAGCTTGACAATTTAATACAAAGTTCCTTAAAAGTTTTATTAATGTAAGTTCAACAATATCAGATATACTAAGGCACGATTATTTTTTATATGCATTTAAAGTTCAAATGTTGACAAAATTCATCAAAATTTCAAACATTTTCACACTATTTTTCAGTTAGAAATTCATACAAGTTTTCCAAAAATAGATAACATTAGAAACTTTGATATAAGACTAGACTCCTCAAAAATGTTCCTACCATGAGCAAAAAATATGAGTTTACCGCAAAGTAACAATAATTTTTTATGAGCGTATAAAATAATAATTTATCCATGGGCTAATATTATAAGCATAGAACAATAATATTATAAGTTCTTTATACCTACCACAAATTCGCTAAGCTAGACCAAATACTATATACGATAATACAGGACACTGGCATATAAAAACTGGCGAATTATTTCTTATCATTGCCCCGCGAGATTGTTAAAGTAGTTGCCTATTTTACTCCTTGAAATGTTTATAAATACAAATTAATTTAGAACACCAATTTCATTTTATTGTTTATTTTCTAATGCCAAATGCCAATCAACGATTATAATTTTTAATTAGAAATATTAAATTATTTAGATTTTAGATTATATAGTATTTGCATATTTACACATACTTAAAATCTCCATAAGTTCATAAATCCTATTGGGAAATACGATACCTAAACAATATAATGAAATAAATACGCTGGATCGAATCCCCTTAAATGTAAGCTTTATAGTAGGTATTAATTAAATGCAATTCAAAACATATATTATACTTATATATTTTACTTTTTTCATAATAATTTTACAACACAAATCAAAATATGAAATTATAACATAAGTGCTTAAAACTGATGGTGCTTAAAACTGAATATCTCTTAATAATAATTTTTCAATTAAATAAACATTGTACTCAAACGTGAACTACTTTTTTCAACTTTTTATTTTTTGAACATTTATATTGGTTGAATCATTGCATTTCTTCACATAGCAATTAATACTCACATTTAAAAATTTATCCAAAAATTGAGAATTGTAGTCTTCACATACAGGGTGATTTTTTTATCGAAGAACACTCATTATTTCAAAAAGTATTAATGTTTAAGAAAATATTTTTTTACATAGTTTCAAGTTGTTAAAAAACAATATTTTTATTAAAAAATTATATTTTTAAATATTTTTTATCCTTTTAATTTTTTAAGTTTTTTACTTTTTTGAATGACAACATCTAATTTTAATTTGATATTCAAAAACAGAATATTTTTCTGATTATTTTAATACATAAAAATTGAATTTAGGGCAAGTAGTTTATGAGTTATAAGTATTTAAAGTTTAGATGAGCGGAGTAGAGGACAAACATTTCGCGGGGTAACCCCGTACCACTCTACTCCGCTCATCTAAACTTTAAATACTTATAACTCATAAACTAATTGCCCTAAATTCAATTTTTATGTATCGAAATACTCAGAAAAATATTCTGTTTTTGAATATCAAATTAAAATTAGATGTTGTCATTCAAAAAAGTAAAAAAATTAAAAAATTAAAAGGATAAAAAATATTTAAAAATATAATTTTTTAATAAAAATATTGTTTTTTAACAACTTGAAACTATGTAAAAAAATATTTTCTTAAACATTAATACTTTTTGAAATAATGAGTGTTCTTCGATAAAAAAATCACCCTGTATACTTAGTGAGTACCTTTTACAAATATGGCTTATAATAAGTTTAAGATCCTTTTTTAAATTACATTTTTTTTTTAGAATAAGGTTTTCAATGTTTGCATGAAAAAGTGCAGAAACATGTTTAGTAAATTCCAATGTTGTGACAAGAGGATAAAGTAAACTGCAGCCATCAATTCCTACCGAGGAACTTGATAAATGATAATATTTATGATAAAAAACAAACAATATTACTATATTATTAGTAATTTAGTAATATAATAATATAATCGTATATAGTATTTGTAATTAATATTCAAAAAAAGCGGGAATTTATACCAGATTAAGGGGTAAAATAGGCAACTTTTATAACAATCTCGCGGGGCAATGATAACAATTTGTTCGCCACTATTTTAATACAGAGTGTCCTGTATTATCGTATATAGTATTTGGCTAGACCTGCAAAATCGTTTTAAAATGTAACGTGTGGCCGTGTGGGACAAGTTGTTTGTAAAAGAATGTGACTGAACCCCATTTGGCATTTACTATAACCACGGACTAAGATATATCTTAGTCCGTGACTATAACTAATATTTATTGATTAAAGATTAAAAAATGATTAAACATAAAATATTGAAAAAGTAAGAACGAAATTATGTCGAATAGCCAAGGCTATTAATTATTATTGTCCACAAACTGACAACTGTGATATTCCGTAGACGTATTAATTCACCTTTTATCACTTTACATTTTACAATAAGTAGATAGTTAATTGCTATTATTTACAAAAGGTAAATATTGATAAGCTACCTAAAAATTTTACATTGCTACAAATTACAATATACATCTTGCTGTGATGATTTTTTAACAAGTTGTACAAATAAATTCACTGGTTGTAACAATTTAGTCGAACCTACTTTTAGTTTTTAAAAAAATATCTCAATATTTTATTTTGAAGGTAAGTGATAAATAATAAATACCAATGTAATTTTGTACTATCCATTAAACTACCTGTGTTCTCATTCAGTATAAAACTATTTATATTATATTATCATATAATTAATCTTTTATTATTTACTATACTACTTTCTATTAGATATGGTCAATTGATGTTCAATGATTTAAATACATTCAACAATGTGTCAACAGTATTGCTAGAAATTCCAAAATATTAGTGAAGTAATCAGTCAACATTAGCCAACATCCAGAAATGGATGATATAAATATCACAGGGCTGGCTGTAAGTTTAATTTAAACAAGAACAATAAAAAACTAGTTGCGTATGCAAATATAAATTATAATTTATTTTTATCATACCTAGATTGAACCAGCGGAAAATGTCACAAAAATGTTGACCCGAGAAGAGCAAATGAGGTATGCACATATTAACGTATTAATGTACAAATCATTGTAAAATACAACTTTATGTGATGTATTTTAGTAATACACATTATCATATTTAACAAGTACTTACTTATTTGTGGTATTAACTACTTGCATCATAATCGCGGTGGACAAAAAGTATTAAAAAAATGTAACAATAAAGTATAAAATTTAAAGAACACTCAACAGTATCAACCAGTTAATGCAAAATACTTAAAAAACAATTATTGAATTTCTTAACAGTATAATTTTGATTTTAAATTAAATCCGAAATGTAATTAACAATTATCCATGGATAAAACAGCATAGGTACTTTTTTAGAGTTCAGATTAGTTGGAAAATAATATCTTAAAAGATATAAATTATTTAATCCACATTTTTTTTTGTTTTATAGCGTTTTTCATCTGACTGCACTAGTGCACACTTCATGCGAACACTGATACCATAATCACAGAATCATATAATTTTCCACACCGCCAAAATTCACGGTGTCGACCAGTGTACACTAGTGCAGTCAGATGGAAAACGCTATGAGACTTTTAGTGTATAAAGAATTCTTATGTTTTAATATGTAAGATTATCATTTTAATTTATTGTGTAATATTTTAATTCTTAGAGAAGAGCATAGAAAATTACACGAATTGCATAAAGGCCACGAGTCAATGCATGCTGAAATGTTGATAATTTTAATGATTACCATGATTGTTGCACAAATAGTGTTATTAGAATGGAAAAGAAGACATTTTAAATCATTTCAAGTAATTTATATTTTTAAAATTGATATTGTGTTCTCTTGTGCTAACTGACTAATTTTTTAGGTTGTGACATCTTTAGCTTTATGGTTAATACCATTTATAATGTCCATTCGTATGTCATATTGGAGATTTATTGTATTTTGGACATTATTTTCATTGATCACAGGACTAGTCGTACGAAAAGCTTTAGAAAAACCTTTACAAGGATCAACACCTAGGTATGTTGTTTATGCCTGTCACAGGGCGCCCTTTGAAAATCAGTGCAGTTTGTGCAAAAATTAACGTTAACATCACTCCTTAAGTTACCAATCTTCATTAAATTGAAAACAAATTAACTAAAATCAGAATTATGAATATTTTTCTTGAACGTAGTTAAGATAATAATTTTGTTTATATATTTATTAAATTTTGATTTCAAAACGATCTTAGGGAGTTTTAAACCACCACCCCATTACAACCATTGTGGGCGCCCTTGGATTGTCATATTTATCGCTAAGGCGAGCACTTATATAAAATAATACATCATGTTGTATATAGTGTGATGGCATAAATGTTATCCAGATTGGTGTACAAATGGTTCTATTTCATCTACAAACTAACTTATGTACTTGGTATTGTTGGATACTTTATCATGGTTGCTGCATTCTTTGGAGTCAGTGTTGTATTCAATGTTAACCCAGCTGTATGGATGGATTATGGATTGATAATTATGTACTATGGGTTGTATTTTGGTGTCTTAGGACAAGATATTGCTGAGATATGTGCATCTAAAATGGCTGCACACTTGGGAGTAAGAATTTAAAACTTATAAAATAAACCGTTCAACAACATAACACCTATACTTTGTATAAAATATTTAATTTCTTTAAAGCATTTTGCTAAAAAATATTTTGCAAAGAAATGCACATCATTAATCCACTCATAATTAATATCTCATCCATGCTCAGGTTATAAAACTTTAACAATTAATGACAAAGATAGTCAATCAATTATTAGTTTATCAATTTTTTTCTCACCAGTATTATTATATATTTATTGTTATATTAATATTATTAGTATTATACACCTCAAGGAATGCCAACTAGAAGTTTGGATAAAAATATTTGCGCTGTCTGTGGTAACAAATTATTAGTGAATGCTGGTGAAGAAGGTATAATTGAATCTACTTTCCAATTAACATGTGATCATACGTAAGTTTTTTAAAAATTATTTTAATATATTTAGATTTGTATTTAAAATAAAATTATAATCAAAATATTATGTTTTTACATTTATAGATTTCATGAATTTTGCATTCGAGGATGGTGTATTGTTGGTAAAAAACAAACATGTCCATATTGTAAGGAGAAAGTTGATTTGAAAAGAATGTTCCGTAATCCGTATCCTTTTTATTATAAAGATATCTAAGTTGAAATATTTTGAGAAGAAAAAGTATATTTAGTATAAGATAAATTTATTAAAATTGAACATGTAAATTTATTGACAACATTATCATCTATGGAAACATGTAGGCACATTAGCTTTCTCATTGTCTGTGAATTAACATCATTAAAAAGTATATATTTTTAATGGAATGATAACAGTTTATGGGTAGTGTATCATTAAGAGGAAAACTAATCGTGATGAAGCATTTACATATTTTAAATAATTAATCTGTAATTAATAATGATTTATTCGTTTTCAGTTTCTTGTATATTTATATAAACAACTAAGTTGAGCTTAAAAAGATTAAAAATACTTCCATTACATAATAATATACATTATAATATCCACTGTTAAATAAACTTATTTGTGCAAAGCAGTTATCAACAATGAAGATTAATCAGTAGTTGCATCTTAGTATCTTACTCACAAACTTATTAACAGTTGAATTTATCTTTACATTTTAAGGCCATCAATTCTATTATTCAATGATACTAATGATTTAAATTTTACAATCAGTAGAATATTTTTACTACTGAATTAAGTATTTAATTTTTATCAAGGTTTTGAGCATGAATAATTTAATTCTAGTTTTCAGTTTGGGCTCTTATTTTCTTATTCATTAAATATTGAAAACCTCCATTTGTAACTTATGTTTAAATCATAATTTGTGCATAAAATAATTTGTATTTTGATACATAAAATGTAAATTGTTTATTCTATCTGATAATCAGATTTTGCCTTGATATCTATGTAATGTTAATACTTTTCATAGATAAAAAAAATATACTACTCTCTACCGGAAATAAAATTTAATGTCTGGTAATGTTGAATACCGGGATTAAATACTTAATTTTATGTACCTGTTTTCTGGGTAAGCAGGTTGATTTAGATTTAAAGCCCTGGTTTGTATGATGCACTAAATGTAATTATCCAAGCAATTAAAAATGAACAATAAATATTAAATAATACATTTATGAGGAAAATATTCAATCATTTAAATATGTTCATTTGAAATGGATGGTACCTATCAAATTGAAATGAGCTATATTTTGTTACTAAGTTTCAATTATTATTTTGATAAATTATAATTCACTTATCTTGTAAATGTTTATATGTGTGATACCTACTTTTTAATATAATATGTACCTTTCCTTAACTATTTAATTGTTCAGATGGGAAAAACCTCATGTTTTGTATGGTCAACTATTGGATTGGTTACGTTGGTTTGTGGCTTGGGGACCAATTATAATGAGTATTATACAATTTATAAATTATATTCTTGGACTGAAATAGTTCCATATTTTAAAATAAACATGAAATTACAATTTTTTGATTACATGATATTGTAATTGTATACACCTATAACCTATCCACAGATCCACAGAGGCATCCCTGGACCTTGATTTTTCTAATAGTAAGAGAGAATTTTTCCACTTTGAAAATGTGTTCTTTAAATTTTAAAATATTCAAAATTACAATAGGTATTTACAAATAATAGTTGCAGTATTGCAACAATATGTATTAAATGTTATTCGAGTTTCAATGTTCTGAATTTCTACATTTAGGTATGAACTGCATTTTAATGAACAAAAATTTTAACTTTTTGTTTTTATCACTCAGTTGTCCTCTATCCTAAAAAAAACCTCCTTATTTATATTGTAATGTGTTCCTTTAGCTATAAATTGACTTACAGATAAAATATAATATACCTATTTTTATGTTTAAATTTTATATTAATTTGTGTATGGTATCTAACAAATGTGCAAAATAGCAAATTTATGTTAAGTAGAACCATCAATGTTGTTAGCTTCAATATTGTATTCACTATTATAAAACTTTAAGTTAGTTTTTTACTATATTTGAATTTTTATGCAACTTATAAGTATGTACAATTTTACAACATGACAATGCTCAAATTTTAATTTTTTTATTTAAATAAATTTATTGATTGATTGTGATGATGATAGTAAGTTACATTAGTACCTTACATCAGGGGTCTCCAAACTTTTTTATTCAAGGGCCACAAAAAAAATCAAATGCTCTTAGCGGGCCAAAAGTTTATTAACACATATAATTTTTAACTTTATGATAATTATAGGTACCTATATAAATAATATGTTTACTTTATAGTTTTGTATAAAATATTGTTTACTTTACAATAAACTTAAATAAAAATAAATAGGTATAAATATAATATAATATAAATACATTTTTTAAATAATTTTTTTATCTATATTTACCTATGCGTCCTATGCGGACCACGGGCTGATTAAAACTTGTTCGCGGGCCGTAGTTTGGAGACCCCTGCCTTACATATTAGATAATAGTCATATATAGAATAATATCATTGTAGATTTAAATATTAAACAAAAAAAATTTAAAAAAGATAGGTACAAAGTTCAATAATAATAATGTAAAAATAATTAAATTGAAAAAAAACTAAAATATCATTAACAAGATAATTTATATATATATATATATATAAGCACAAATTATGTTCTTAACTTTAAGTTTGATAATAGGGCATTTACTCTGATATTGAAGTTAGCTAACAAGTAACAACACTGAATTGGTTTTGCTCATTGCTGAAAATAAATTTGCTGTGTTATGGGTTAGAGACAACAAATAAATGGTTTGCTGACATATTTTAAGCACCGAGTAAAATGTCCAGGGCACAGACTTATCCAAACTTCAAATGATCATTAATTTAAACTTCAAGTTCAATATTCTATCGGTATATTTTGTACATTAGCATTTTTAGAAAATGTGTATAGTTTATTAAAGAGCTTAGATTAAGAAATTTAAAGTATGGAATGTGATTTCATAATCAATATGTGGGTAGTTGATATGTGGATTAACCAAAAATCACAAAATCTATAAATGTTCAACTACAAAATCATTTTAAAATTTAAAATTTCATAAATGTTGTCAAAAATCAAACTAAATGCTTTTAAAAAACAATTGTGCATATGTATTTTAATATTTTCCAACTGCTATTTAAGCAATATATGAGGAGCCTTGTAATACATTTTGACACTTTTTGGCCCAAAAATTATTTATAGAGAAAAAAACTAAAAAAATTGAAATTTGAAACGGTCCAAAAACAGCTCAAAACAAGTCAAATATTTTAAAAATTTTATCAAGTATAGGTATTGATAAAATAAACATTCAGTGAAATTTCCATGTATCTACAGTTATTCGTTTTTCAATTACAACAAAATAAAGAAATCGAATGTGAATATCCAATGTAAAAATTTCAACTTGAAACTCTCATAAAAATGTAACTTGAGGAATCTTGTATTATATTTTCAAACCTTCGATTTCAAAAGAAATTTTTTTATGAGTTTCTAAGTTCTAACTCATATAATTTGCACATTTTTGTGATTTTCAACTGCCATTGTAACAATAGGTATATTACCTAAGAGTATTGTATTACATTTTCAATCTTTTTGACCCAACTAATAACATTTTATTGACATTTAGCCATTTAGGTATGGAAATAAAAATTAAAAAAGGTGCTCTGCTGTACAGTAGCTAGGTTACAAGTGGGTCACTGTATAATGGATGGTATTAAATTTGAATTCAATGATATAATATCATAGTATAAGAAAAACGATTCTGAGCGGAGATGGTATGTCAGTCTAGGTATAAGACATTATATATAAATCTATATGGTATTAAAAAAAAAATTGACTTATAATAAATTCCAAATTAATCATATCACAATATGTCAATATCCACTAGGTACTTATAACGAGTTATACATCAACAACAACCCGTGATACTATCATAGATATTAGATATATAATAGTACACTTTAGAAGTTTCAAGTACCCACGAACAATTTAATATAATCACAACAAAATAACTAAAATAGTTATTCTAGGTTTATTTTTAATAAGTAATTTCGTCCAAATTTGAACTTAAAATGACTATAAAAATAAACTGTGATTGAGTATTTTTTAGATTTTTTGGTAACAGAATTAACTACATACGTAGAATCTTGTTTTAAATTTTTAACTACAAAATAATTATTCAAATATAAATTTGATAAATTTTGTCAAAATTCGATCTTTTAATGCTTATAAAAAAAATTTGTGCAAAATATTAATTTTAATATATTTCAACTGATATTGTAACAATATATCAGGAGCCTTGCATTAAATTTTTACACTTTTTGACCCTACAGATAAAATTTGATTGATATTTACAGAAAAAAAAACTAAAAAAATTGAAAACTGAAAATGTCCGTAAACAGCTCAAAAAGAGTCAAAATTGTATGGTGTATAGGAAATGCTAATATAAACATTCAGTGATATTTTCGTGTATCTACAGTTATTCGTTATAACAAAATAAAGATATGGCTACATGAGAAATCGAGTGAATATCCAATGTTGTAAAAACTTAAATTGTTAAAGGTGTCAACTTATGAGTAATCTTGTATTACATTTTAAAATCTTAGATTTAAAAAGAAAAATTTTTACAAATTCTTAACTCAAAATAATTTGCTAATTTTCGTGATTTTTCCATATTTTGTCAATTTTTGAACTTTAAATGCTTATAAAAAAAAACTGTGACTAAAGATTTTTAATATTTTTCATCTACCCTTGAAACAATATACTAGGAACCTTCTATTCAATTTTCAAGCTTTTTTAACCAAGATATAAAATTTGATGATATTTTTAGAAAAAAAACTAAATGGAAAATGAAAATGTCCCTAAACAGTTCAAAATAAATCAAAATATTTTGAAAATGTTATCGTGTATATAAAATACAAATTTAAACAACCAGTGAAAAATGCATGTATCTACGGTCATTTGTTTTAAAGTTACACCAAAAACCAAATTAAATTTTGTGAAAAATTGATTTTCAACTTAAGTTGAAACTTAACTTTCAAATTAAGTTCTCGTTTTTCTTGGTGGGTTTGAAAATTACTGTATGAGCAGCTTTATGCGATTGGAAAAATGTTTATCGGGAGAATAAAGTCCACCACGACGTAAACAGTAGATGAAGCATGATAAGAAAATAATAAAAATTGTAAAAAATATCTCTGAAATAACACCATTTCAGTATTTAAGATGTTTATCTTGCAATATTCAGTATTAATAATCAGTCTAAAGACCGGATTTATATGTTTTTACATATCGTTACTGGGTCTATGCAGTCTTATGAGAGTAAAAAATGTGGACGATTCGTTTAATTCTGAATGCGTAGAAAAAAGTTTTTTTTGCATATTTGAGAATATTTCATGGGTTGGAGAATATTTAACCCATTTAGCATATTTTGGAATATTTCGTAAATTGTGAGGAAAAATTTGTATTTATTTTTATTAATTTTAATATTACGGTACTCTGAAAAAAATTTTTTGACCATTTACAATTTTTTTTTTTTTCATTTCGATAAAAATAAAACACGCAGTATTATCAAGATTTATCTATGTATATCCACTGATAAGATCAACTTATAAGTTTATCAATTATTCAAATATCAAAATTTTGTTTTTGTGTTTTAATATTACCTTATATACTGTTATATTTATATTATATTCCAACTTCTTACTCTTGCTAAAGTGCAATACTATTCCATTAGGTATAATATGCAACTCTTAATACCTAATTAATATTTCACTATAAAAATATAGTTGAAAATAAAATTTAAAAAAATAAATGCATATTAAAGCATATAATGATGTTTTTTGATTATTTTTGCATATTTTTTAAATTTTTGAGAGAATATAATGAGAATATTTGAAGGTTTTTTAGAGAATATTAGCATCATATTTTGGGTATTTTAAGAGAATATAAATCCGGTCTTTAAATTAATCACTAATTTTAATTTAATTAATTCATTTTTAATAATAATAATGATTTTGATTAAATTTTGAATAAATTATCATAAATGGATAAGGTTTTTTTATTAACAATAAAATTCTACAATATATTATATGTGATTAAAGTTTAAATTATGATGGATTAGGTTTTTTAATAATAATAATAACCCTCTAAAAAGCTCTAAATTTAAAATGTTCAATAATATATGAACAAAAATTTAAAATAAAATAATTTAAAAAGATATTTTGGTCAAAGACATTTTTATCATAAGATATTTTCATAAAAGATATTATTTTGAAGATATTATGACCTAGTGCTAGTACACATATAGTATTCTTTTCTAATTTTTTTTTTTTTTTTTTTATTAATCTTATAGCCCGGCAACTATGGGCTATACCTTAGGTATGTAACATATTACAATTTAAATATGATTATTGTATTACAGACAAATTGAAATATCAT